CAAGTTAATAGATAAATACTACTACCATGTTCTTGTTTTCATGATAACAGACAAATACTACTACCATGTTCTTGTTTTCATGATAACAGACAAATACTACTACTACCATGTTCTTGTTTTCATGATAACAGACAAATACTACTACCATGTTCTTGTTTCAAGTTAACAGACAAATACTACTACCATGTTCTTCTTTTAACGTAAATAAAAAGATACAACTACCATTCATTAGTTTCAAGGTGGATGGAAAAATATAACAACCATCTTTTTGTTCCAAATCAAAACAGTATAAGAATTAGGAAATTTGTGTAGTAATGTATGTTTGTTTATTACAGTTTGTTGTTCTGTTTTATGTACTAATATTATTCTCTGTGAGGATGAGTGTGGTTAGCAAGCCAACTGTGGAGACGAGGTTTCATGGTTCATAAACATCAATAGCTGTGAGTGCAGTATAAGAGTGATGGTCAAATCCTACTATGTGGTCAGAGTAGTCCAAGTGGTAGTGGTGCATGATGTTGACTAGTTGCTTTACATCCAGTCTATCAGCTCAAAGTTAGGGACAGATAGTTCTCATGTAGCTTTTTATAAAATTCATCAAACAAAGAAACTTTTTTTATTGTCACAGCTCATATCGGAATGAGAGAAACATTAATACTGAATTTATAAATAGTACCTTACAGACCTATGGAAGGGTGAGAAAGTTAGTAATTTAAAAATAACACATTCACACCCTGTGAAAGGGGAGAGAAAGTGAATCATTTAGATATACTACATTATGATCTTGTGGAAATGAAGGTTTGGTTGTTGTTTGCTGTTGTGAATGGCTTAGTGTGGAGGAGAATGTATATTTACATGTTTTATGTGGTCTCTCTCTGTAACTACAATAATAAATGCTTTTCCACAATGCTTAAATGTCTTGTCAACACCTAGCTTGTGGACTGATGAGTAAACAGTTGACCACAGAATCACTAACTTATTTTTATATTGTTCACTATTGATGAGGTTTAAATATTGAGTTATTTTATGTTGTTCCTTTTTTTTTTTTGCATGTTACAATTCTCAGAAGTAAAAATTGATAAAAACAAATGTTGATGAAATCATTCGTTTTCTGTATAAAAACATAAGGATCACCAACGGTAATTAGTTTGGCTAACTGAAATATTGATAGTAATTTTAGATTTTAATGTTATTAGGAACACTGTAACCAACAGATTCAACAAAGAGTTCCTCATCAGTAATTCTAGAGTTAACTCTTGTCACTGGTGAAGAACAGTAAAAACCAGCCTTCTATTCTTTTAAGATGTCATTGTCATGAAAAAAACTTGTTGCTAATAGCTATACTAATAAATAAGGAACCGGGAATATCAGAGAGTTTCAGTTTTTCCTGATCTAAAAAGTGTCTTAATGTTAAACAATCCTGTTATTGGCAAAGAAATTAAAGTAATGTTTCAGTTCTGTAGAGGCAGATGTGCAAGTAAAAGTTATTTAATAACAGGACAATAAAACTCAATATCTGATCTACATTTTTGACCATACTAAACCACACATACAAGACTTACAACTTGAGTATTTTCTTAGTATGCATTATTAATGACTAACATTTAAATAAATTTTTTTTAGTAAAAACACAAACTACAAATGTAAGTGTCTAATAACTGTCACGCTTCATGTACTGGATTTGTACAAACATACAATCAGTAAATTACAAGGACTTGAATAAAAAATGAAAAGTGTAATTTAGCATGATTCTTGTAATGTTTTAAAAACCTGAGCCAACTATTGACATTTAACAACGTAAAATCAGAAGGTTCCATTCCCCAATGTCACTTTTTCTTCATTTTTGTTTTGCTTTTCCAGATCCGAGATATGCTGAAGATATTAATGTCTTCTACTGCAAACACAGTTTCCATAAAGACTGCTTACGTGTCTCAGAGCTGGTAAGTCGCATACGTTTGTTCACGTTTAAATTTTATAAAATATGTGTGTTTAAAAAAACAAGATACATGAAAATAGATTTATGAATAATGCAAAAAAAAACTTGATATTAAAAGCTTTGTTAAAAGTTAATTTAACTATATTAAAAATATCATAATATCAGTTAATAAGTATTATGCTACAAGCAGCAAACAAAAGTTATAACAGAAGTCAGGGTAAATTTTCATAGTTACAGTTATCAAGGTTTTAAGAGATGGGTATTGCATCACTAAATAGTAAAGAGTTTTGGAAGTAATAGTATAAAATCTCTATGCATGTTACAGTACTTGTATTAACGTTAGTAAAACAATTTGAAAATAATATTTTGACCAGCTGATAGAAAAGTTGAATGAATGCTTTCTAGGTAAAAAGTTTAGCAACATTTCAAGCATTATCATATATCAATGCTAAGGAAATATTTTATTATTTAAAACTTGTAATTAGGTAAATTAATATGTAGAATTTTTATGTTAAAATACTTTTATTTGCGAGTTTTCGGCCCTCTTACCAGAGCCTTCATCAAAGTCAGTAATGAGGAGTAATATGACATGTTGATAACTCTGACATCAAAGTCAGTAATGTAGAGTAAATTAATATGTAGAATTTTGATGTTAAAATACTTTTATTTGCGAGTTTTCGGCCCTCTTACCAGAGCCTTCATCGAGC